GTTTGTTTATATCAGGAGTATCCAAACTACGGCCCGGGGGGCCAAATGCGGCCCGCGGACTATTTTGAATCGGCCCTCAGCAAATAAAAAAAGTCTAATGAAATATGGCCTACAAATGAAACTTCTGTTTGTCTTATTTCTAAGATATGTTCAAATATATTACACAGTATTCATGTGTTAATAAGCCCAATTTTCAAATAAATTCGGTCAATTAAAGTTAACATTTTTTTCTAACAAATCTAAGTTCATAAGAAATAAGCCCCATAACACAAGAACCTTGAAACATACCCTTCATATTTCCTCTTATCAGCAATCTGAAGCTTCTGTTTTAAGGAATGACCCGCCAACACAATAAATGAAACCCTATGGGGAGCTTTGAGGCTGTTTTTTTCATTTTCAAGTATCAAGAATAGTTTACCTACATTTGAGGTTTTTTTCTAACTTCTAACTTAAAGGTGACCTATCATGCAAAATGCACTTTTGTACGGCTTTTATACATGAATATGTGTCCCCGGTGTTCCAGGGAACTCACCAAGTGTCACAAAACACAACCCTCTCTATTTTCCTCCATACCCAAATCTCTTAAAAAGGGGCTGCAACGGATCTGATACAGACTGATCCAGATTTGAACACTTCTATGACGTCACAGAAGTGGCGCTACGGCTATTGGGCCAACTCCACCAATCAGGAGGAGACAGCCACGGACATTGCCGTTCGAAAGCGCTGGAGACGCTGTAGTACATATGCCAGGCCTGTAGATGGTGTTGTTCTCACAGAATCAGCCCATGAAAATACAGTGTTAAATTGAGCGAAATGAGGAATGGCTAAAATGCATAATCTGTTTGGTATTTTGAAAAATAAAAAGTAAATATGCCTTATATATGGTCCTACACTATATTATTAAAATATAGCATGATAGGTCCACTTTAACTTATGAGGCAATACTTCTAGTGAGTGGCCCAGCCCTTCGTGTGTTTTTCTGTATGTGGCCCTTGTGAAAAAAGCTTGGACACCCCTGGTTTATTGGTATGTATTTGTGTATAGATGTTGCAACTATACAGAGCTTTAGCAATACTGTATGTTACTGTGGTCATGACTCATGCTAATAAAGCTATTGAATTGAAAGAGAAAGAGAAAGAGAAAGAAAGAGATGGCTCTCCTGTGCAGACGGAGGTCCTCCGCCAGGGGGCAGCCCTTCTCTTTCTTTGGTTCCTGTACTGAAACTTTGGGGCACTAATTATTCATTTTCAATAATGGTGAATTTTAACAATGATTACATTTATCCAATCTTATTGTTGAAATGTTAATTTAAATTATCTGAAAACAATATGCCAAGTTTTAGCTCATGGCATCACAGTATCCACTGAGCCATTCAAAGATTACGTAAAATATAAAGAATAATGTATTTAGTATGACAAAGTTTGACAGAATTATAGCCCATTCTGACGGCCTTGAGGCTGCAGGTTAGCTGTCTGAGGCTGGTGAAGGGAAGTTAGGTCTCTGGTGAATATAAATTACATTTTTTGTTGAATAATGACAGAAACATACCTTTTGGATTTTGAATTTCCTATTACATTTCCGCCTATGATTCATGTGTGTTAAGGTGTTAATATGACAAAGATGGTAAATTGTATTGATATAATCTTTTTTTTCAGAGATAGGCTACATGTGATACGGCCAACATCGCCCCTTCAGAGAAGCCTATTGTCGCTCTTTTTATGTTATGGGAAGAAATCAGCCAACAATAATAATTTATAGTTTTAATTAAAAATGGTCTAGCTTTTTTCTACCTAAAGCAGGGGGTGGGGGGTTGTTCCTCTATTTAAAGGTAGGGTATGTAAGTTTGAGAAACTGGCTCGAGATCGCTAGAATTTGAAAATACACGACCGGAGAAAATCTGCCACTTCCTTATAGAGCCCCTCCTCCAACACACACGAACGTGCACATGACCAATGAGGGCACGAGATAAGTTTGTGCAGATGGAAGGCTGACAGGCAGGTAGGCCATCCAGTTATTTTAGCCGGGCCGGCTAAAATGATTGTTCGTGCTTTTTACAGTACTACGGCTTCCAAAGATGACTTTTTTTAATGGATTTTTTGTCAAAGCACTTAAGATATTCATTGCTATCGGGATGTTAAGAGCATTCCATGGAATATAACAAAAAGTGTATCTCGAGCCGGTTTCTCAAACTTACATACCCTACCTTTAATGTATGACATGCTCTCGTTTAGTATTCATAAATACATATTTTGTAAGTAAAGAATACATATCAGAGCCACAGATATGCTCAGTGAATATTAATGACCAGTGCTGCTGGTGAAGGAGTTCATGCAGCATGGTACTCTGGAGCTTCTTTAGGTGACAAAGGGTTCTAATACAGTAAAGAAAGGGTTCTAATACAGTAAAGATAGAGCACGTCATGTAGTTTGCACACAAAGTATTACAGCAAAAATGTATGCAACAGACATTGACTATAAGGTTAAAGACAATATTTTCATATCTGTTTTGTAAGATATAAACAACAACATTTGTATGAAAAAGTGGCTCTCCTGAAAACTAAAGGATCAGTGACCTGTAGCTGGATCAGAGGACATGTGGCTGAACACACACCTGATGGCATGCTCACAGATCTTTCGTCCTGAGCAACACACACCGCCAGCACGGGATCCAGAAGAGTCTCCATATCCAACAGATATACTTCACTAATATGTTTCTGTGTCATACGAGCTGTAACATTGATGAGTTTCCTGCACACGCACACAGTTTGCTATTATTCTTATTATCTTGTAATTACAGCTTTTGTCAAGCATTAAACTCACAAATCTGCATTTGAAGTCAAAGAAGACAAAAAGACTTAAAAAATATGCAATTGAGTTTCTTCCAAATGCCAACTTAATGACCAACTTGTAGGGTATGTGTTCTGCAACACTTTATTCAACATTATACAAAGGTTACCGTTCAAACATCAAACGTTCTCATTACAAACCTGGAGAACTTCCATTTTCTATAAATATCTTTATGTTCAAGAATGCATAAATCTAGTTAAAAAATAAATTATTCTAAATTCCTGAAAAAAAGTCCCTTATAAACAATATTTATTTGTGGTTTCCGTCTTGAATGTAGTAAATTGTTTCATTCTACTTATTTAGCAAACTGAACTCCTAACAGGATCTATGAATGGGAACATGTGGGGTGGGGGGCTCAGCGTTCAAACTGCTACAGGCAGACTCAGGGGGAGGGGTCCGCTCAGATGGTGTTGGGGTTGAGGTCACCTTCCACAGCTCCTGAAAAGAGGAAAACATGTCACTTCTATTTTTCTGTTTTTTCTTTTTCATTTTCTAGTTCATGTTCAAAATGAACATGAACTGTCCCTTCCTCTCCTGACATAAACCCTTCCTCTCCTGACATAAACCCTTCCTCACCTGACCTACACCCTTCCTCTCCTGACCTAAACCCTTCCTCACCTGACCTACACCCTTCCTCACCTGACCTAAACCCTTCCTCACCTGACCTACACCCTTCCTCACCTGACCTACACCCTTCCTCACCTGACCTAAACCCTACAGAGAACTTGTGGGCTCTTCTTAAAGGGAGATTTACGGTGAAAGAAACGACTCTCTGAACAGAGTCTGGGAGGCTGTGGTTGCTGCTGTAACAAAAGGTGATCGTCAACAGATCCAGACACTGACAGACTCCATGAATAGAAGGCTTGTGACTGTTATTGAAAAGAAGGGTGGCTATATTGGTCACAGAAACAGTTGTTTGATTTCTGTTCTCAATTTAACAGAGAAACTAAATATGTGAGATGGGAACATCTTAGTTGTTCATAATACGCATAACAATTCTCCACACTAATAGTTGCCCAATAATTATGCACACACAGATATTCTCCTAAGAAAGCCAAAACCTCACTTTTGCTTTCCTATATATTCAGGTTTGAGGTTTATTAACATTTTGGATTGACCGAGAGCACTGTAGTTGTTCAATAATAAAATGAATCCTCAAAAATGAGAGAGCACTGTAGATGTTCAATAATAAAATTAATCCTCTAAAATGCAACCACACAGTGGAGTGTATCCTGCTTGTCTTATTAAAACACACTTGCTTATATTAGAGTGCTTGATTTCACTAGCAACAACCCATCTCAGAACTTCTTCTGAAAATATAATGATGTGTGCGAGTGGCTCTCTTACCAGCTGCTCTATGCGGTCATACAGGAGGAACTGTGAAAAGTGGGTAGGGAGCTGCTGCACTGTGAAGCTGCAGTGTCCGTCCTGCAGGGCCACCAGCTGGGACAGGCAGCGGCTGAAGTGGTTGTAGGCATCACAGGACACGTCCATGTGTCTCAGAGTGAAGTTCATCCTTGTGAGACATCCAGGCAAAACAGAATTACTGCTTGAGCTTGGTCCCTGGTTTCCCTCTAGGGGTTCTGGATATCCTGTTACCATATACAATAGGTGTGTAATACAGTGCAGTGAGTGGAGTTATGCTTAGACCTGCAGGTGAAGTTAAACTTTAAAACATTTATCATAACCACAAACTGTAAGTCATTACTCAGAGTAAAGTCCAATACCTGTAAGGCTAATTTATGCTCTATAAAAACGTGGTTGGAAACTACACGTCATACAAAACGTTCTAGGATCAAACAGACACCTCGGGTACAGCTGCTGTGCGGAATAAAGCACACAGCTTCCCCCCGGTCTGAAACTGCACATTCAACTGTATCTGGGTTTTTTCTTCCTGTTGATAAAAGTGAGTATCAATTAAATTAAATGGATCTAGAAATCCACAGGCAGTTGTAGACAACGTACTCACCATGCAGAACATCAGTTTTGATGTTCCAAAGCTATGTCTAGCAGATCCATGCTCTGAGACTCTGCTCACCTTTTCTCTATGGAGATGAAGACGGAGCAGCTGTGAGAGAAGCTGCTGCAGAGCCGGTACAGGGTCCGGAACAGACCGTCTGTCAGCTCATCGTCATAGATAACTGATACAAGAACACATCAATAATAATCATTTATTTAATTCTCATTTAAATAAGAATGCTTTTAAATTACATCTTAGAGTAAATAAAAAGGGGCCAAAGAAAATGGTAGACCAATGATCAGGCCAATATATAAAGTGAATATGTTACATCAAAAGTGTCTTTGAGCACTGCTGAAAGCACTTCATAAATGCCATGCATTACTGTTATTATCATTCGCTAAAGCAGCCTGTGACTCATGAGCACATGGCTCCACTGTTACAGTGCTGATAGAAGCCTTTTGTTATTACTTACTAATCATTCACACTAGTAGACCCCGGACAATTGTGTGTTTCAACTGCAGCACATGTGGAAAATGCTCAAAGGCAGGATCAAGCATCACTCCTGCTTTACACATCACTTCCTGTCAAGGCTATAGAATGATTGGAAGACGTCTTAAATAAATCAAAGTGCTTCTTAACTGTTGCATTTGCATGTTTGTGTCTCATTAAATGAAGCATGGTGCAGTGGGTTGTTCTACAGTACCTATGCTAACTGTGACCAGCTCAATAACCCACCATCAGCAGCAATGATGATCTCAGTGTTGTTGTACATGTCTTCTACTTCCTCTTCTGTCCAGCTAAACTCCACGTCTGCATCTACAAACATTCCACAGATGATAGAGAGACATTTCCATGGTCAGAGAGAGGGTGTCTTCTATTCAAAATAAGGTGTAAAGGTTGATAGGCTGTACTTGTTTCAATGTGCCAGGTACATTTGTATTGTGTACATGTAATGACAACATTGCACATTATCTGCTGCTGAACAAACAGTCAGTGTCAGACACACAACTCTTTAGTTCAGGTGTCTCAGACTCCAGGCCCGCGGGCCAGACGTGGCCCGCGAGACAGTTTCTCATGGCCCCTTTGTTGATATCATGTAATAGTGTTAATCTGGCCCGCGCGTTTACGTTTGCGCTTTATATTTCAATTTTATTTTTCCCGCTGCTGCTACTGCTGCTGGCAGGGAACTGCTGCGCGGAGTTCCCTCGCCCCTCCGAGGGAACTCCGCCACACGTCAATCAAATGCGCGCAGCGGAATCAATCCAGTGATCCAAAAGTGACACAGAGTGGAAGCAAAATATATCGCCATGTCTTCATCAAAACTTTCAGGGAAAAGAAAAATCGATGATGACCACAGAACATTTCAGGAGAAGTGGGAGACTGAATATTTTTTTGTTGAGTACAGGGGAAACGCAACGTGCCTTATATGCACAGAGAAAATCGCTGTATACAAAGAGTATAACGTCAAACGTCACTACTCAACTAAACATGCAGAGTATGCAAAATACCTGGGAGATGAGAGAGAGAAAAAAGTCACAGAGCTAAAAAAAATTCTATGGAAGCAACAAAATCTCTTCAAGAAAGGAAGCAATGAGGCTGATTTAGCAGTCGAAGCTAGCTATGCGGTGAGTGAGATGATTGCTAGGGCGGGAAAGCCGTTTACGGAAGGCGAGTTTGTAAAAAAATGCATGTTGCAGGCTGCA